AGGGGGACGGGCGACAAAGAAGGAGGTTGTCACGAAGAGATGGGATGAGGAGGCAAAAGGATGAGGAAGGGGGAAGAGATGGAGGTGGAGTGGCAGATGAAAGGGAGGAGGAGGTGGAGGTGTGTAGGAGGAGGAGGAGTGGAGGAGGAGGAGGAGGAGGAGGAGGAGAGGAAGGAGGAGGAGTGAGGAGGAGCGGAGGAGGAGGAGGAGGGGAGGAGGAGGAGGAGGAGGAGGTGGAGGGAGGAGGAGGAAGCGAGGGAGAGTGGAGGCTTGGACGGAGGAGGTAGGTGGAGGAGGAGGAGGAGGAGGAGGAGGAGGAGGGCGGCGAACCTCACCATTCTTGTGGCCTTGTCTGCCCTGAGCATCGCGGCCTCCAAGCGCGACATCTGGGTGTTCACCGACGAGATCAGGCGCCTTCTATGACGCTCCTCTTCTGTTCCCCTCAATCTTCCCTTTCCCCCGCCCCCTCTCCCGCTCCTCCTCCCTCCATCCCCCACTCCCTCCATCCCCCCTCTCCTCCCTCCCCACCTTCCCTCCCTCCCTCCCTCCCTTCTCCCTCCCTCTCTCCCTCTCTCCCTGCCCCTCCCCTGCTCCCCCTTCTCCCGCCGCCCCCGCCCTCTCGACCCCCTCTCCCCCTCCACCGCCCTCCCCCCTTCAATCCCCCGCCCTCCCTCCGCACGCCCCGCGGGCAGGGCCGGGGAGGGCGGGGCCAGCGGGGCTGGCGAGAAGTGGGGCCTGCGTGCCGGCCGCAGGCGCCCGGGCACCGCGCTGCCGGTGGACCTGCCAGAGTCGGGCGGCGATCCGGAGCAGGCGGGCGGGGAAGCCGCCATTGGGCCCCGCTGGTCAGATGAGGAAAAGGTTCGGAGGTTGATAGACCTCCTACCCTGACACGTCGATTAGTGAATTGGTTGTTTTCGTCGGTTCGCGAGAGGGCGTCGCGGCCGTCATTTTTGCGGGTCCAGCTCCGTCGGTTTCGGTCCTAGGCCGTTCTCACTAAAGGTAGGTTTACTAAAGGGAGGTTTGTCCACCGCCGAAAGGTACCCATACCGCTACCCTCCGCCCGTTTTCCCCTTTTTGAGCCTTCTCTGAGGCCCTCGTCGCCACAGTCGGATTCGCCTCGAGATGCTGGTCAGAACGCACCCCGGGAGAGGTCCAGGGAGTAGCGGTATCGGCACCTTTTGGTTTCCCCAGCTGGGGGGCTGGGGCTTTGCAGGCCGGGGCTTTGTCTCAGAGGTGGCCCATGCTCCAAGGGTGTGTAATTACGCAACGTGTTCTTTGCCTCGCGCTTCATGCTGACGAGGCGCTCTTGCAACCGTTCGGGTCTCGGCCTTGGTCAGTGCACTTCCTTCGGCTGTAAGGATGGGAGTAGGCCGTATAACGAGTATTGGCTCGGTGCCTGGTTTTGTTTGCTGCCCGAGGTAGGAAATGGGTGATCGCAGGCGCGACCAGGGAGACTATTCCCAGGAATATCTCCCAGCGTAAGTAATTCCTCGATGCGAAGGGACGCTATGTACTCCTAGATTGCACGTTGGATGTTCGAAGCTCTTGCACGATTGGTCTCTACACTTTCCTGAAGGGGAAGTTTCATCGCGTATCGTATTCAAGACAGCGTGTCCTCTGACGAGGTTGAGCCAAATTCGCTTCACATGACGCGTGTCTTCACTTATGCTACCAAAGTCAATGGGGACTGCGCAGGCAATTGCAGGAAACAGTATCAGCAACGTGGATTTGCGGGAACGTATTCTCTCGGCAGCTTGAGGACGGCAATGTAGTCCCCCAGTTTCCGAACCATGAATCGTGCATGTCTCGTCGTCAAGCAGGTGGGCATACCGGGCGGCGTGCCGCTATGTCGTGGTGGCCGGTGGGGTCTTTCGTGGCCTGACGTCTTCGGTGGAACACCTGTCTCACCAGAGTCGAAGAGCTGGCCAGCACATCCCCAGGGACCTCGTGACCTGGGGCGGTCTCGCGCAGTGACGCGAGCCGTGGTGACCTGCGATCGGGCTCTCCTTCCCTCCATGCGGAGGTTAGTCAGGCGGACCTCGATGAGGATGTCTCGTGGTTGAAGGCGGCGGTGGTGTCACGGGATGGTGACGTGGGAGTGGGAGGGGTGAGGGGGGGAAGGGGTGGAGTTCCTGCTTGCTCCTCCCTCCCTGTTCCTCCTGTTCCTTGTCCTTCTCCTCCTCCTCGCCGTCATCCTCGCCATCCCTCATTATTTTCCTTAGATTCGCCATTCATTCTCCAATGTTGTCCCTCTTCCTCTTTCTCCGCTGCGTGACTCTATATCCCGTTACTTCCCCGTCTCCCTCAGGCGGGAAGGATCGCCACCCAGAAGCTCAAGTTCTGGCTGCAGGGCGAATTGGGCAAAATCGACGGGGCGATCGACTTGGGCATGACCTCGCAGTGGCCCCTGGCGGGCCTCATCCATCCTCCATCCTCGTCAATGCTCCTCCTCCCCTCCTCTTCCTCCTCATTCTTATCAGCTTTACTGTCCTGCCTTTTGACCTACCCCGTGTACCATCCTCGTCCTCCTCATCCTCCCTTGGTGGACCGGCTGGTGTACTTCATCAGTGCCAGCCCCGGCTTCGATTTCGTCATGAGGAGCGGGCGGGCGAAAAGCGGCACGAGATGCCGTGCTCTGTCGGCGGGGGCGTTTGCTTCCACCTTCCCACTCCGCCTCCCCCCATCCTCGTTGTGCCTCCCTCGCCTCCCCTCCGCTTCCCCGCCCCTGCCTTTCGCCCCCTCCACTTCCCATCCCGTCACTTCCTTTTACCTTTCTGCTACTTCTCCTTCGCCATTTCCCCTTCCCACCCCCTCCCCCCTTTTCTTCCTCCCCTCCCCAGCCCTCCCTCCTGCCTCACCTTCGCTGCCCTGCTACGCCCGCGATGAAGCGCAGCACGTACCGTGTTCAATGCGTCTGTGCGCATATTCTGCAGGTTGGTCCGGCACGCGTTGGTCCACGTTTTTCGGCGAACGCTTCGCGCCAGGCCTGCGCTCTCAATCTGCGCGCTGAGCTCCGTGCCGACACGCTGCGGGCTGCGTGTGGCGTACCGGGGCAGCCAAGTGCCTCGCCATCCCCGTGCCCCTCGTTCCCCCGCCCGCCCGCCGCCTTGTCCCCTGCCTCCCCCCCCCTCGTCCCCTCGTCCCCACGTCCCCACGTCCCCCTGCCTCTTCCCCCTCGTCCCCTCGTTCCCCCGCCCGCCCGCCCCCATCCCTCCCGCTCGTGCTGCGCCGCCCCCTCGTCCCCTGCCCTTCCCCCCCCCCTTCGTTGCCGTTTCCGCTTGTGCTGCGGGCGTGGGAGTCTGCGCGCTCGGCGCAGCCTGCGGACGGCCGTCCTCGCTGGCTGCGAGGAGGAGGAGGAGGAGGATTAACGCCACAGGCTCTGTCCTAAGTTTACACCACGTAAAAAGGAGGAGGAAGAGGAGGGAGTGTCGGAGGAAGAGTGGGAGGGTAAGGGGCGAGGAAGAGGAGGATGATGATGAGGATGAGGAGGAGAACACATATGGTGATGGTAATGGAGGTGACAATAACGAAAATGCATGTGATGATGGTTGTGGTGATAGGTGATGGTTAAAGGGGGGGGATGGTTCATGGTTATAGTTATGGTGATCGTGAATGTGATGATGCTGATGATGATGCTGATGATGGTGAATGGGTTATACAGGGTGCCGAAGTAGGATTGATCGTGGAATCGATGGCGATGATGCTGGTGATGGCGGCAAGGATGATGAGTTTCGTAATGATGATGATGATGAGGAGGACAGTGATCGCGATGGTGATGGTGATGGTGACGAGTTGTAAGATGACGATGGCGATGGTTAGGATAGGCAGATAATAATGATAGTGATAGGGGGGGAAGGTGGAGGAGCAAAAATGGAGGAAGAAGAGGAGGAGGAACGGGAAGAAATGGAGGAGGAGGAGAAGGAAGGCAAACAGGAGCATGGAGGAGAACGAAGAGGCGCCGTGAGCTGGGGAGCAAGAGAAGGAGCGGGAGGAGGAGAAGGAGGAGCAAGAAGAGGCGGAGTGGGAGGGCGGGGCGGTTTTCTTGTGTTGCTGTCCGTCCGCTGGCAGGCATAAGGTGCAGCCCATGATCATGCAGGCCAAGTGCCCCGCCTCTCCACCTTCTCCCCCGCCTCCTCCGCCTCCTCCTCCTCCTCCTCCTCCTCCTCCTCCTTGGCATGGCATCGCACACAGTGAAAAAAAAAAACTCCTCCTCATCCTCCTCCAGCTCCTCCTGATCTGATCCTCCCCCCTTCCTTCTCACTCTGTTATGTAGGCCGTTAGGGCTCACGAGACCGATGAGCCCGGAGGGCTCTTGCAGCTAACATTTCATATCACACCCAGCGCTTCAGATTTTCCGTGGCTCCTCCGCACACTGCCGTTTTGCCTTTCCTGGCGGTTGACCTCGGGCTCAAATTGCGACACCACCAAGCATGTCCCAATGCTATGGACGATGCTCGCTTCCTCCCCCCGTGGTTGGCACCTTAGAAGATAAGGCTGGCATCTGAGAAAACGTTGGATTTGCACCCAAAGGCACCTAATTGCCTGAAGAAGGATCATGCAGCCCCGATGTTGGCCGCGGCATCGTTGGCAAGAAGATCTCGCTGCTGCGCACTCTCGCCAAGCCGACGGAATATTCGCAGCCCCTTCTTTTTCACCGTTACGGTGGACGTGTTGCCATCGTTGCTGCTCACAGTGTTGAGCGACATCCTGCAAGCTGCTGTCCTTCCAGCTGCTGAACTTATGCCGCCCGCCAGGGCGCAATTCTGTCGCTGGGGTTCTTGATGGCGCCACGGTCGACCTGAACGAGCTCGCGTCGGATCAGGACTCTACTTGTTCACCTTCTCGATGGACTAACTGTTTTGGTTTCGGCGTGACCCAGATATCCCCGCCTCCGGCCTCATCGACAGCGCCACGTGAGGGCACGATGCGCGTGGTCGAGGCGTTGATCCAGATTTTTCTAGTGGTCGTTGGTGGGCCCCGTGACGCACGTCCGCCTGAGCATGCAGATGCCGATGGTGAGCCTTGTGACCCAGACGCGGCAGAAGAACCTCAGCCTTCTTCACCGTCTTGCTCCCGGCAAGGCTATGGGCCTGTCTGCCGTTCAACTGACGTCTGGACAGATCCTCACAGACCCAGCGCTGATGGGCGAGGAAATGTGGAAACATTGGAGCCACATGCTCGCCCCCGTGGCATCGATTCCGCTCTCCGTGCTAGGTGGCTGCAGGAGGACGCTGAGTTCAGGGAGCCGCACAGCGGCGGTCAGGGCCCGGCCTTCCCGCGACTCCGAAAGCGACACATTGTGCACGCCATCAAGAACTTCAATAACTCCGCTCCTGGCCCCGATGGGGCCAGCTTGTTCCCCACATCCTGAGTGGGCTTCTGGTTTTCTTTGGACACCCCGAGCAGGGACAGGAACCAATTCACATCATCATCATCATCATCATCATCATCATCATCATCACCATCATCATCATCACCATCACCATCACCATCACCATCATCATCCCATCATCACCGTCGCCACCATCATCACCATCATCATCGTCATCGCCATCATCACCATCACTGGCATCAGCAGCATCAGCAGCACCATAACACTATCACGCACACACTCACTCACTCACTCACTCTCTCAATGACTCACTCTCTCACTCACATACACACACACAAGGTCACACTCATAGTCAGGAGGTCTCGAGCGGGAGCCTCGTCTGTGAAGGGATCTCACGCGGGAGACTCCTCCGTATTGGGCCCGCAGCTCATGTTGGTAATCCGAGTGGGTCGTATTCAAACTTGTATTTGTCGTCATTTCTGGGCCCCTCAGGCCTGAATATAGAGGAAGTGTCAAGCGGGAAGTCCGTTTGTGAGTGAACATCGACGAAGTCCAAGGCGGTTGCCCCTTCAATATTGGGCCCACAGCTCATGTTAGTAATCCGAACGGGCCGCCTTCAATGTTGTAATTGTCGTTACTTTTGGGCTCCTCAGGCTTGTGTTCGAAGGAAGTATCAAGCGGGAGCCTCGCCTCTGAGTGAATTGCGAGGAAACCTCAGGCGGGAGCCCCCTCCATATGGGGCCCGCAACTCATGTTGTTTATCCGAGCGGGCCATCCTCAAACTTGTAACTGTCGTCACTCTTGGGCTCATCAGGCTTGAACATGGAAGACGTATCAAGCGGGAGAGTAGTGTGTGAACGAAATACGAGGATTCTCAGGCGGGAGTTTCCTCCCTATGGGGCCCGCATTTCATGTTGGTAATCCGAGCGGGGTATCTAGGGGGGCACGTGGGAACCCTACCCCTACCCCCCCACGATTTCTGAGGGGGGGGGGGTCACTTCGCTCGGGTGCTCCCGAACGAGGTGAACCCCACCGTCCGCCTCAGAAATCGTGGGGGGTAGGGGTAGGGTTTGCACATGGCCCCCTGGTATCCTCAAACTTGTAACTGTCGTCACTTTCCCTGAGACTTGAATATGGGAAAAGTATCCGGTGGGAGCTGAGTATCTAGCCGTGTGTCGGGGATTTTCCCGGAGGATCGGCTCGTCCGGGGCGAGCGCTCGCAACGTGTGTCGTCTTCTCCCTTGGGGAGTTTTCCCGTAGGTGCGGCTCGTCACGGTGGTAGGGGGGAGTTGGGAAGGTGTGTGCTGCCGGCGCTCCTCGTTGCCACGTGTGCTGTCGCCGCTCCTCGTCGCCACTTTTCCTTCTCTTGCTGCTGGCGCCCCTCGTCGCCACTGCCAGCCTCCTGGGACGCGGGCGCCGTCGTCATTCCCGGCGGGTTGGGAAGTGCACCCGCAGGTCGGGCAGCACCTTGCTCATCCCCGCAAGTCGGGAAGTGCACCCGCAGGTCGGGCAGCACTTCGTTCCACCTTTATGTTTTCACAGGGCTACTCGTTCGGCACATTATGATGAGGAAGGGAAAGAATTGGAATTGAGGAGGACGGCGGTCGGGCGCAGGGGGAAACCCTTGCGTCCGAGCCGGGGGGGGAACCCATTCTCGGCCGAAGCGGGCGCAGGGGAAAAACCCTTGCGTCTGGGGCGCCTATGGTAACGCATCGGCGGCCGAATCGGGGGCAGGGGGAAACCCTTGTATCTGGGGCGGCGGTGGTAACCCATCATCGTCCGAATCGGGCGCAGGGAAACCCCCCTGCGTCCCGGCCGGGCGTGGCATTCCATCTTCGACCGAATCGGGGACAGGGGCTAGCCTTTGTCTCCAGGTTGGCGGCGGTAACCAATCGTCAGCCGAATCGGGCGCAGGGGGGAGCCGTTGCGTCCGAGCTGGCGGTGATAACCCATCGTCAGCCGAATCGGGCGCAGGGGGGGAACCTTACGTCCGGATTGGGGGTGGTAACCAATCCTCAGCCGAATCGGGCGCAAGTTGTGAACTTTACGTCCCGGCTGGCGCTTGTCATCGACCGGCGGCCGAACGGGGCGCAGGGGGAACCCTTGCGTCTGGGACGCGGGCGGTAACCCATCCACGCCCGAAGCCAGGCCTCCACATCACCGCCTTGCGTGCTCGTGGGCAAGGGGCCATTAGCGCAATTTTTTTTGTTGGGCGGTCGGGTCTTCGGTTCCGGGGGCTTCCTCCGCGCGGAAAATCACGCGAGCGAGAGAAAAGCCCTGGAACGAAAGAAAAGTGACGCATTTGCTCCTGCTTGGCTAAGGCGGAGCAGAAGAAAAGTGACGCTCTTGCTGGGCTAGGGCGGATCGTGAAAGACCCACGTGGTGCAGAAGATCGTCTTCCCAGTGGTGGAGTATTTGTGGCCCTCGTTGGCGCCGGACAGGGGCGCCTTGATGCTCGTGGCCTTCTCGAACGCGCAGGCGAAAAACATTGCAACGAAGACTGTGAAGGCCAGAGCGCTGCACAACGCCTGTGCCCTGCGAGCCCAGAAGTCCATCAGCGCGAAGATGATGCCAGCAGGGGGCATGCAGAAGAGGTTGAAGTGGTTGTGGGAGCACGTCCGCGTCTTTGTCATCGAGGAGGTGAGCATGGTGGCGGCAGCTCTGTACACCGTGCTGGACATCCGCGCCTGCCACAGTCGCGGTGGCACGCACAACGCGCAGGAGTTCACTTACAAGAGGCCGCATCATCATGTCAGACGCGTCCCCATCGCGTTGCACCTCGGCGACTTCCTGCAGTGGAAGCCCGCCGCAGCATCGGGCCCCTCACGGACGTGAGCGAGGTCCTGCACGACGGGTCGTACAAGTACGCGGAGCTGCCGACGGTGGAGATTCAGCGCGCCGTCGACGCATTCTCTCAGACCCCCTGCGTTTTCGAGCTGAAGGGCACGAGGCGCTTCGAGCACGGGGGCCCTCTGATCGCGGTTTTGGGCAGCACGCGTGAGGGCGAGCCCTTGCCACCAGAGATCTGGTTCGCCTGGGGGAAGACGTTGGCCTCGGACAAACGCGGCGTCCTGGGCCCTCGGCGCCAGCACGAGAATTTCCAGCTCGGCTACGGCATGGGCATCTATTGCGGCGTCTGGGCGTGCCCGTCGTTTTCCAGCAGGCCGTGGACCAGCGCAGCGCGGTTCAAGGCGACCCAGGCGCGGGCGGGCGCCTCCTGCACGTCCCGAACATGCACAAGACAGGGGACATCCACGGCGCGCTGCCAGCACGCGTCGGCACGGTGGTTCGGTTCACGGCCGCGCAGGAGGGCTCGAAGAAGAAATTGGGGCTCGCGCAGGAGCGCCGGGCCACCATCGCGCCCTTCGAGTTTCACCCAGACGACGAGCGGGACTGCGAGGAGCGCGCGCCAGGCCAGTTATTTAGCCCCTGCTACCTGCCGCGGGGGATCTGGCTGCACGTCCACGGCTCCAAGGAGTCCCCGATCTACCAGGAGGTCGCCGAGGTGCTGCTGCAGGGCGCCGAAGGCGCTGGCGACGACGGCGAGGCCGAGACGCGGGCGAGGAGCTTGCTCCTGTTCAGGCCCAGCGAGCAGGAGCTCACGTGGCAGAGCACGGGGCCGCACGTCGCGCGCCGCTCGGGGTTCACCCCTACGCGCGCGTCGCACCTGACCTCCGCGCTGTCGCCAGATGCTGCGCAGGGGCGTCTGCGCCAGGGATGAGGGCGCTGGTCGCGCGGCCGCGTCGCCCGAGCAGTGGCGGCTGCAGCTCTACGTCACGTTCTCCCGCACCGCGCACATCGGCTGCGGAGCGCGCTGATCCCGCGGCGCCCGCGCCAGAGTTCCTGGGGCGCGCGCCGCCGGCGCGCCCGCGGAAGGCGATCCCGCAGTTCGACGAGATAGCTGAGAGGCGCAGCAGCTCGCGGCGCATCTGCTACCCCCCGCCTGAGCGCGGCCGCGACTAGTTCGAGACCTGCGGGGTTGTCCCACTGGCTGGCCCCCGCGCCCCCAGCGGCTCGCGGGGCTGCCCCAGTGGCCTCGCCCGCGGGACTGCCCCCAACAGCTTCGCCGATCCAGCCATCGGAGGACGTTCCCACGCCGGCCGCGGCGGCAACGGCGCCGACGAAAATCGACGACGACGACGACGACGATCCCCTGGGCAGGAGACAGGCGCGGCGCCAGGGGAGCACGAGCAGGAGGAGGATAATTCAGGGACAAAGAGGACACTGGCGAAGGGGGGGAGGGGGAGAAGCAGGAGGAGGAAAGGAGGAGGAGGGGGGAGGAGGAGGGGGAGGAGGAGGAGGAGGAGGAAGAGGAGGAGGAGGAGGAGGAGGAGGAAGAGGAGGAGGAGGAGAAGGGGAGGACGAGCAGGAGGAGGAAACCCAGGGCGAAGAGGACGAGGAGGAGGAGGAGGAAACGCAATAAAGGGCGAGAGGAGGGCCTCCGCCAAGGCGAAGGGGAACAAGCGAGGGGCAGGCTAAATGGATTCTCGCATGGGGTCCTACTGTCGGAGTAATTCGCTCGGCGCCGCTGCCCGTCTCTGTCCACCGGAATAGTGTTCGACGTCGTGCGGGCCCTCATGGGCGACCTGGATGGCGAGCTCGTGGAGGACGACTGGGCTGAATTCAACGAGAGTTTGCTGCTCCTCCTTCACAAGGTGCCCTCAGGGGCGCTACGTCCAGGGGAAAAGTGCGAACCCGACAACACCGCCTTTGTCGGTCATCGACACCGACAATCGGCTGCTCGCCAGCGCGGTCTGGTATCTCATCGAGCCCGCGGTGGGTTCGAAGGTCGGTTGGATCCAGAAGGAAGTTCTTGGCCAGACGCAGCATGCTGGCCAACATTGACGATATCAAAGAAGCTATGGCGACGATTGCTTGTTCGCGTGCAAAGTGCAAAGGGCGGGGCGTTTTTCTTCGACTTCGCCGCCGCCTTCTCCTCCCCAGAGCACGAAACGACGCTCAGGATCGTTAGGCGGCTGGGCTGGCCCACTTGGCTGTTGAACTTCCTGTCTGCGTTGTACACTTGTAACATCTATACCATGGTGCTTGGAGGCGCTCGGCACTCTAGCTTCGAACTTCGACGGGTCATTCGACAAGGCTGCCCTCTCTCCCCTCTCTTGTTTGCCGTGGCGTCCGATCTGTTGCTCCGTCGGATCCCGCGTCTGATGTAGTCGGCGTGCCTGCGCGGCTACACGGACGATGCGGCCCTGGTAGGCCTCCGCATCATGCAGCACATCGCGATTTACCAGGACGTTTTCGAGGAGTCCTGGTGGAGGCTCTCTGGGCTCAAGCTGAACATTCGCAAGGCAGTTTTCGCGTCGCTCTTCTGGTTCGACCGCGACGAGCTCCGCGCTTGGGTGTCGCAAGCAGCCCCGCTCTGGGGCGCCTTCCTTATAGACGACACGGCAAAATACCTTGGGATGTGGCTGGGCCCAGGGACGGCGCCCATCCCTGGACTTCTCCGTTCGGGAAGCTCCAGGCTCGCGCGCGTCATTGGGTCGGCGTGGGCGCCGGCACGTTCCAAACGATGTTGGCGTACCAGGTCAAGAGCGTGATTGCGCCGCCCTTATCCGAGGCCCGGCGGGGTGGTCACGGTGGAGGCCCTGAAGGACTTGATTTCGCTGCGCCCCCCCAGGGATTTCTTGGACCTGCCGAGCGCTGCGGCGGCGGCTCGGGCGCGCGTGGCGCGCTTCGACAACTCGGCCTACGGCGGGCTGAAAGTCCGCCAGCGCGCAGAAACCCTTCGGATGATCTCGCTGCTGCCCTGCAACCGCGCCCGCGCGGCGGAGCGCGGGGCGCTCATCCAGGATTGCGTCGAATTCCAGTTGGAGGCCGCCACGGAGGCTTCGTCGCGGGCGGAGGCCAAGCAGCGCGCCTCCCCCTCGCTCCTCGACCCGGCGTGCCCCGACGCCTTGAAGGAAAGTTGGCAGGCTCGTGCGACGAGGGTTTTTGAGAACGCTGCGCGCCACTCTGCGGCGGCGCACGTGCGTTCAAAGCTTGATCGCTGGCGTTTGCCCACGCTCCCTGGCCACCGACCGCATGCCCGGGTTCACTTCCTCTCCTTGACTGTTCCTCTTCTCCCGCGTGCCAATTGCGGACGGTCCGGAACGGTTGGTGTACGGTCCGGCGTTTCCAGGGTGCCGCGGGATGTATTTGAGGTCGCAAAAGAGGCGAGGACAGCCTTGAACATTATGCACTATGCAGTTGTTGTCGCAATGTATGCAAGAAACATTTGGGGTTCCCCCGCCTCCCGCTGGAGGCGTGCCCAGGGAACTTTTTTGGCGTCGTCCTCTGCTCTTCGCCTTCTCCGCCCCGCCTACGGGCGGGCTCTGCCGTTGCCTCGGTGGCAGCCCTCCAGGCAATTGGCGCTTCTGCGTTGTACAAAGTGCAGAATGGCCCTCGGCATGGCTTCCCCTGGGGCGATGGTCCTGACGCCTTCCGCGGTTTTCTTCGCGCGGGGATGTCCTGGGACACCCCCGTCTCAAAGTTTGGCCCGCTCTGTATTTAAACAGGCCCCGCGCGGGCTCTTAGCGTTCTTCCTCTTTCCCTTCCTCCCCCCCTGCCCCTCTCGTCCTCTCCCTGGTCGTGGTGCTCGTTCAGCTCCTCGGTAAGACAGTTAGTTTCAGTATCTGCGCACCGCCGCTGGTCGGGCATTCGGGCCTCAGGCCAGCCAGCTTGGAACTGATACGTTCCAGGGATACTTCGTATCAATGGTTTTGTGTTGTCTCCTCTCCTCCCGTTGCCCCCTCCTCCTGCTCCTGCTTTCGCCTCCCCTTGCTCCCGGCGCAACGCCGATACGTTTGGAGTGCGAATTCGTATCGTTATAATTGCTCGAACTTCCGCCCCGCTGCCAGCTTTAGCCGACTGACATCAGGTTTTGAGTCCAGAGTTTCGGCCACGCCCGCTGGACTGGAGTTTCACAGAACTGGTCTTAAACTCTGCTCTCGGTGTGCATGGCAACCTGTGACGCCGCGAAGATTTCGCCGTAAGATGTTTGTATAGTCCTCCTAGAGCAGCTGTTCCCGACCCGTTTCCGTAGCACCTGCAGCCCATTCAGGATGATACGTGTTTGTGGGACTTCGTATCTTTAGGAAGGTGTGCTCATCTCCCCCCTCCTCGCTCCTCGTCCTCGTCCTCGCCTCGTCCTCCTTTCTTCTCCTCCTCTCGCCGGTGTTTTTGTGTGCTTTCTGGGGTGCAGCTGCAGATGAGGCGGCTGGTCAGTCTCTGCCGCGCCTCGCCGAGGAGTGCACGCGTTACCCGGGAGCTGTTGCGGTCGCCCCCTCCCTCTCGATGGTGCCCCGTCGAGGAGGAGGAGGAGGAGGAGGAGGAGGAGGAGGAGGAGGAGGATGGGGATGGTGGTGGTGATCCCTCGTTCTTTCCCCAAGAACAGACGCTGATGGTGATCCCGTCGATGGCGTCGGACTCGACTTCATCGTGCTCGTGCAGGATGGGAGCACGATCGGTGTGCCGCTTGGCGGCTGCTGGTGGTGATCATCGTGGCTCGGGGGACGTATTCTTCTTTCCCTTCGGCCCGCTTCAGCGGCGATTGGTTCCGCATTCAATTGTAGATGGGGCTGCGTTCAGCGACAACCAGCACCCCTGGAAATGACGGGGGCGGCACTCCTAGCATTCTGGATGGTTGGCCATCTCGTGAAGCTGAGCCTCCTCAGGTAAGTCGCGGCAGTGGGCCCTGCGAGCAGCTGGTGGCGCGCGTTCTCTGCTGTCCGACATCGCGCTGGCGACCGACGCCCCTGGCGAGTGCAGTCTTGCACTCAACGGCCTGAGCCTGCACCTCTCCGTGCCCGAGCGGGCCCTGGACGCTGACGGCGAAGAAAGATTGTTGAAGACACTGGGCGCGCAGCTGATCACTAACCAGTCCCTGGAGCGCAGGACGGGCAAGCAAAAACAGCACGGCCTGCAAGGAGGGCCAGCCGAAGAGAGGTGAGGATACAGCCAGGCGCCAGGCCTTGGGTGTCGGCTGGGGGACCCATTCGTGGCCGAGCCCCCCCTTGGGTCAGAGGGGCCCCCCCGTTCCCTGCTCAGCGCTCCTTCTCGTAGCACGCTGACTGTACCATGAGGTCCTGCTTCGCGGACTGCAGGGGCGCCCGCCTGAGGAGACGAGCGGGGACCCGTGCGGACGCCGGAGCGTCGTCCTCCTCCTGCTTCCTCGTTGTGTGATTTCCCGCGCTAGCTGCCCTGACGCTCTCTTGAGTAGCACGTGGTGGCACAGCCCTGCTGCGGTGATCCGCTTCGCTTTTGAATCGTTGTGTCGTCGTCGTTTACAGTAGAACATCAACAATCAACAACAACACCACCAACAACAATCATTCTAAGACTGTTCGCTCTTACTTGCCCGTGTGCCATTCAAAACAAGATCCCCACACCCTCGATACCCGCCCTTTTTGTCTTCGGTCACACCCTCTTTGGGGGGCTCCTTTCTTTTTGCGGGGGGCGGCGGGCTTAGACAGGCGGGCAAATCTGAACGTGCGGACAATCCTTCGTGGGCGTGCATGTGCCCGCCATTGGAATTGGTGTGGGCGCTGCAAGAAGGGGAGGGGGAGAACAAGGGAGAGTGGGAGGAAGGGAGGGGGAGGGACGAAGGAAGAGGGAAAACGCCAGGAGAGAAGGAGCGAAGAGGGGGCGGTTGATTAGAGGCAGAGAGAGAGAGAGAGAGAGAGAAAGACAGACAAGAGAGGTAGAGAAAGAGAGAGAGAGGGGATATATATATATATATATAGAGAGAGAGAGAGAGAGAGAGAGAGAGAGACAAAAAAAAGGAGGGAGGAGGCAGGAGAGGGGAGGGAGAAGGGAGGAGGGAGAGGAGGGAGAGGGGATAGGGCAAAGAGGCATAAGGATGAGGGAAGGGAAGAGGGAGAGAGAAGGGAGGAGAGGAGGGAAAAGGGAGGAGGGAGAGGGAGGAGGAGCAGGAAGGTAAGAGCGTGAACGTTCGAGGAAGTCCTAGGCGAAAGCGCCGTTCCTGAAGGAAGTCTCGGGCGGGAACCCACGACGGGCGGGCGATCCCCTGACGGGCGGGTCGGGCGGGTGGGACATTCAAGCGGGATGCCTGAGTATAGCGAGAGCGCGATTCCGAAGTACATTGTGATGGCGTCCTTGGCGCAGCGTGTTTCCTGAGCGTCGAAAGCGCGATTTCTGAATAAATTGCATGGAAGTCGCAGGCGATAGCGCAATTCCTGAATAAAGTGTAAGGGGTTCTCTGGCGGGAGCGGGGGCTTTGATTTAATTGCTATGAAGTCTCGATTCAATGACTATGAAATCTCAAGCGGGAGCGCCGTTCCGGAGTAAATTGTGAGGAAGTCTCAGATGGGAGCGGGGGTCCTGACTTAATTGCGAGGAAGTCACAGGCGGGAGCACCGATCCTGAGTAAATTGTAAGGAAATCTCAGGCGGGAGCGGGGGTCCTGAGTAAATTTGGAGGAAATCTCAAGCGGGAGCTGTTGTTGTTATCCGGGGGGGCAGGGGCACAGTTTGAGCAGGAAGACCTTCCCTGTCGAAAAACAGTGTGCGAGCGTCGAGGGGCACACTTTGATTGAGACAAAACAATATGCACCGGTGATGGGGGGATCAGCAATAATTGTTTGTCAGAAGCGAGAGTTCAACAGCAGCAGCAGCAGCAACAACGACACAAACAAACAAAAAACTCCGCGCGCGCGCGCGAGGGGCGCGCCCGCGATGGCGGTCACCACGCGGCGGCCCCGGGCGCCCCGAAAAGCCACCAGTGGCTCGGGAGATTGCCTCTGGCGGCCCCCGCCTCGCGGACCTGCGGCGGGCCGCGGCGCGCCGGCGCGCCCCCTCCCCGGGGGGGCCTCTGCCCCTCGGGCTGCCGCGGGGCGGCGTTGGAGGGCGCGCGGCGCGCCTGCCCGCGCAGCACCAGTGCGGTGCGGCCTGGCACGGAGCAGCCGTGGCCTCCGGGGGGGGGGAGGAGGAGGAGGAGGAGGAGGAGGAGGAGGAGGAGGAGGAGGAGGAGGAGGAGGAGGAGGAGGAGGAGGAGGAGGAAGGAGGGAACGGTGGAGGGGGAGAAGGGGGATGATGATGATGATGATGATGATGATGATGATGATGATGATGATGATGATGATGATGATGATGATGATGATGATGATGATGATGATGATGATGAGATGAGATGATGATGATGATGATGATGATGATGATGATGATGATGATGATGATGATGATGATGATGATGATGATGATGATGCTGATGCTGATGCTGATGCTGATGATGATGATGATGATGATGATGATGATGATGATGATGATGATGATGATGATGATGATGATGATGATGATGATGATGATGATGATGATGATGATGATGATGATGATGATGATGATGATGATGATGATGATGATGATGATGATGATGATGATGATGATGATGATGATGATGATGAGGAGGCTGAGGAGGAGGAGGAGGAGGAGGAGAAAGAGGAGGAGAAAGAGGAGGAGGAGGAGGAGGAGGAGGAGGAGGAGGAGGAGGATGAGGAGGCCCTCTGCTCCTCGGGCTGCCGCAGGGCGGCGTCTGAGCGCGCCGTGTGCCTGCTCGCGGCAGCGCCGGCGCGGCGCGGCCTGGCACGGAGCAGTCGTGGCCCGTCGAGTCGGAGCGCGGAGGCGAAGGCGCTGCGCAGGCACCGCACGGGCCTCGAGCTTCGCGGGCTGCCGGCAGCACACTGGCTCGGGAGAGCGTCTCCAGCGGCGCTGCCTCGCGCGGGCTGCGGCAGTGTTGGGTGCGCTGCCTCCGGGAGCCCTGCTGCGCGGGCTGCCGCGGGGCGGTGTGTCTTTGGCCCGCGCTGCATTGGTGCGGCGCGTCAGCGCGACGCCCGTTCAGTGCAGTGTGCCAGCGCGTGGTGTTCGACCAGCCCGCGCGTTCGCCAGACCCGCGGACAAAAGAAGTTGGTGTGGACTGTTCCACGCAGCGTTTCGGTGGTTCGGTGTCTCGGTGATGCGGTGCAGTGAGGCAGCGCAGTGTTTGTTCGCTCGACCTGACTGCATCCAGAGCTCCGAGCTCAACGGACGTGCAGGCCTGGACACGGAACGTGAGGCCGCGCCGCCACATGTTGCTGCCCGCCTCCTCCCGGATGAGGGTCCCCGCGCTCCTGCGCTTGCGAGGCCTACTCGTGCGCCGTGCGATCGCTGCCTGGTCGGAGTGCGCCCTGCGGCGTGAGATGGTGCTGCTCGGCGGCGGAGGCAACAAAAAACAGCGGAAAGGCAAGGGGCGGGCAGTGTACGCACATTCGACGGCGAGCCTCGTCGACGACATGGGCGACCGGAGCCCCCGGATGTATGACGACTAGACGCAAGAGTGCCTTTTCGCCAGAGTGACCTTTGGAACGCGCCCATTGGGGCCCCCCAGTCGCCGAACGCGAGGCGACAGTGGCGTCTTGCGCGCTTGTGTTTGGCCCCCCCCCCGCGGCCCCCAAAAAGCCGCGCGCCAAAAGCGACGCGCCACGGCGAAACAAATTATTAGTTAAGGAAGCGAATACGGAAACGAGACCCTCCGCGAAACAGTTAAGAGTTCAGAAGACGAATGCGAAAACGATTCGGCCTGAAAAAGATCATAGTTCCATTTTCACGTGTCGCCGGGACAGCACCCAGGGTCACTCTGGCGCGTAGCCGAGTGATGCCCCACCCCCTTGGGGAGCAGAAGCTGCTCTGTTCCAGAGCAGCTCGTCTTCGTAAGGGTCCACCGCCCCGCGAGGTCGCCGAGGGCGTCGCCAGAAAAGAGGATGTGATGCCTCCTCCCTGAGCTGTGTCCGCCCCTGGTGCGCCCGCCGAGCCGCCCAGGCTGGGGACCGGCGCCCCGCGGCGGCCCTGCCCGCAGGAGGCCGCCGCGGAGCTGTCGGCGCCCCCCCTCGGCGCTCTTGGCCGCAGGCTTTCCCGTCCTCGCTCTCCCTGGCGAGGTTTCTCCTCCTCCTCCTCCTCCTCCTCCTCCACCTCCTCCCTGTCGCACCCCGAGACGCGAACGTGGCGGTAGTGCGGGCCAGGCCTTTCGCTGGAAACTGCCTCACCATGTACGGTCCTTAAGCTGAGAGTATCAACAGCTTCACGGATAGAGGGCGGGCGGTCTGCGTTTTTTTTTTTTTTTTTTGCCTCGGCGCCGCGCGCATACGTCCTTGAAGTTTGCAAGAACTTCCCGGATGGAGGGCGGGCGGTTAAAACATGTGTTTCTCGTTTTAGCGCCGCGCACATTCGTTCTAAAGGTGTACAAGGCTTCCACTGATGGAGGGCGGGCGGTTTACAACATGTGGCTCCCGCCTCAGCGCCGAGCGCAGTCGTCTTCAGAGTGCACAGCAGGCTCAAGGATTATTATGGTTGCCGTCCCAGAAATTGCGCCTGGCCACGGTATAGGATTGCCAGGACGCACCAGTCACGTTGATTCGCGGTGTTGTAATCCCAGGAACGGCGCTCTGGCACGATTCAGGACCGTCAGGATTCAACAGTAACGCTGACTCGCAGCATTGACGTCCCAGGAGTTGTGTTTTTGCACGGTTCAGGATTTTCGGACGGTTACCTTTCAACTGGGCATTTCTTTGAGTCCAGATAACTCTTTGTACAGGGGCCTATGACAAAGGAATTTGGATGGAGGGTTTATTGCAACATCGTTTGTGGGTCTTGGGTTTGCACTGATCCTCATCCTCATCCTCCTCGTGGTCATCCGCGTCGGTCGCTTACCCGGTGTGGTGTGGGCAAACTACCGCACGCTGGTTGGAGCCTGGCCCGCGTCCTTTCGGAGGCACGTCGGACCCCGCCGCTTGCCCTGCCGGTTTGGGTGCGAGGGCTGCAACGTCGAGATCGCGCACCTCCTGAGTGCCGCGGGGCATGGTGGGCGGTCTGCCACTAGGCGACGCGGTCATTCGCGCATTCGTTTGTGCGAAACAGATTGGGGCCTCAGAGAAGGAGCAGCGTACTGATGCGCTGAGGATGTGGAGAGCACTCTGCCGCAGACTGTAGCACGCTTGGCGCTCCTCTACCACATTCACAACATTCTTCGCCACCGTCTGGATGCACGCGTTCAACCGCCGAGCGTGGCAGTCACTGCTGCGAGGGTAGCGGCCCAACGGGTCAGGATGCCACCGCCGTCAATCCCAAGAATTACTTCTCAGTCTTGCGGGCCCTTCCTAGTGGTGTGCTCCGGGCAGACCCGCCATCTGCGGGCGCTCCTCGTTCTCGTCCTCGTCTTCCTCCTCCGCCTCCTCTCGGCGGCGAGCGAGGGGGGGAACGAGAAGGAGAAGGTCTTCTCCGAAGGCTCGGAAGTCCCCCGGCCTTCTGAGAAGTTTTCTGGGCCTCACCTGGGGAGGTAACCACGTGCATGGTTTCGGGTTCCCCCCCGACACTTTGGAAATCATAGTTTTTCCAGGAATCATACGAAATCCGCTGATTTTAACATATTTTTTCGGCTGATTTTTGGCGCCGTTTCAGTATAGCACATTTTTTCACCCTGATTTTTAGCGACCTTATGTATAACACCTGTTTTTTTGCCGATGTTTGGCGTACGTCTTAAAAGTAACATATTTTTTTTGGGAAAATTCTTGGTTTCCAACATAATTTTTCATTGAAATTTCGACGTATGTCATCATATTTTTCCCCAAAAAAAAGATCTATGATTCATAGGATTTCCTGTTTTTTTTGAAGTGTGTCGCGGTACATTTCGACGAAAATCGCTTGCGGGTTTCTATCAGGTGAACGCGATTTGCTGCGATCGTGCCGTGCTTCATATAAGCCTCCCTCAAAATAATGCGAAAACGCAGAGGTCGCAATCATAAAAATCCAATGGTTTCTTGAAGCGCGTTGCAATTTTTTTCGCGCACAAGGAGCATCGGTTTCTAAAAAAACATGCGACATTTATGTTATTGCGCCGATGCGATGTGTGTTGCTTCCCGAAGTCAATTTCAATCGTACCATTGTTCAGTGGGAGCCACTAGCTATCATATGGTGGAGCTCGGGCATGTGATTTGCGCGGCCGAGTCACGTTTTTTGGTTGTTTCGGTGTGGGCATTTGTTTATGTTGTGTGCGTTGGTTGGTCGCAATGCACACTTTTGGCGACTCTATGATGACATACGTGGCAACATATACACACAAGTCTGGTGAGGGCCGTGACATCCGAACGGTTTTTGTTTGCGCTTCTTGCATTGCTGAGAAGCCGCTGTGCGGCTCCCGAACTGAGAGATGCACACACACACACACACACACTTCATTTTGTAAAATTACATCTGCATACCACATGATTCCGAGCATGCGTGTGTGAATGTGTGAGGGTGGGTGGGTGGGTGCGTGTGCGCGTGCGCGTGCGTGTGTGTATGTGTGTTGCAACGCGTCCGCGGACCCATTCGCGTATGCAACTTGTGTGTTGGTGCGTGCACGTGCTCTTGATCTCTACGAGGTTGAGTTTATAAATGCAATCGTTGTGTGTTGTGTGTGGGACGGTGGGCCGGGAGATATGTAGACCATGGTGCTTCGTCCTTGGGCATACCTGTAGCGTTCAAGCGTCAATATGCTCCCGGGTCGTAGGCAAGGGGCCTGGGGAGATAGTCTCATACGCCTCGAGGCCCCCGAGGGGTCGGCCCGGGGTCGGCGGCATTTGGATGAATTGGAATCCTTCTCCCCTCCGACCCTAGGGAAACAAAAAGTGACACAAACATAGCAACTCGGAGGTCCGCGCGGATTTCTCGGATCGGCGCTGGACCCCCCTCCCTGGCGCGCGGAGCGCACCAGGGGCGGCGCCTCTGGCGCCGCCAGGGGGCCCCAGCGCCGATCCGAGAAATCCGCGCGGACCTCCGAGTTTTATGTTTATGTTTATGTCACTGTTCACTTTTTGTTCCCCTAGACCCTCCTACCAGTCGGAGTGGCGTAGTAGGTCGACCCTGCCAAATCGAGGGTGCATTTGTGTCCAGATTTCCTTGCCAATTCCTTGTCAATGTCTAACTATATTGCCAATTCCTTGCCTCCGGAAGAGTCTTGTGTCCTCTCGGATATTGTGTCCAACTCTCCAACTCGCGTTTGCTATCCCCCTCCCGCTCGTGCTTTTAGCCATTTTGGCTATGAGGCCATGGAGGCCGCGGCCCTGGCCGACGCACGCGCGGCGGTCTTAGAGGCCGCGCGAGATGGTGGGTGCTGGGAAGCCGAGGGCGGCCTCGTTTTACTGCGCGTGTCGGCATGTATGCGTCACGTGCGCAGGTTGTCGGACACAAAAGCATACCGATACCATTTCTACTCCCCGACACCCTGACACCTTGCACAGGTGCGTTCTGATAAGAATTTCGAAGCGAATCTAGCCGTGGCCGTGGCGACGAGGGCCCACGAAGCCACGGCGCCCAACTAATGACATTCTGAAAACATGGTATCGGTACCCGTAGACATTCATCCTTCGAGGTTTCTTCTGCGTGACATGCCGCCTGAGGGTCAGCGCGGCGATCGACTTATAGTGTATCGGTTGTTGAGTGGGCGGCCCGATGGGAAGTGTTTCTGCGAGGACGTGCGGGTCGCCTTCAACACATATGGAGACATAGTGTTCAGCGATATGCAGTGGGCCCACCTTTGTCGGTGCAGCGTAGGGGTTGATTCGTATACGTATTCCGCCCCCCTCCCCATCCTCCCCCCCTTACGGTCAACCAGCATAGTAAGGATGAGGAGCGTTCCAAGGTCACCCTTGCAGCCTTGCATCCTTCCCTTTTCGCTGGCTGCGCCCCGCTCGCGCAGTGTCGACGTGTCGACGTGGCTTTCCCAGGCCCTTGCATCCTTCTCGTGCGTCCTTAATACACGGGTTGACTGCGCAACCCTGGGATCACTGGGATCACCCCTCCACGAGATTGGGGGGAGGAGGGAGCGAGCCAGTCGCCGTCGCCTCGCCCCCGGCAGTTGCGTCTGATTGCACATCCAGTCGCAGTGGCAGCAGGAGAAGTTGACGCAGGGCCACCGCCGCTACAACTGTATAGGCCCCAGCCTGGGCCCCAGCATCCCGCCCGAGCCCCAGCAGCAGAGACGTTCAGGATGTTCAGGCAGCGCAATCAGCACAGCGCGCATCCCTGGACAGAGAGCGGAGGTCCGATCAACTAACTGGGGGTGGCCTGCGCTCCCTACCCCTTGGTGGATACACTCGACCAATCGACAATCCGACGCATCGCCGCATCCCCGAGTGGGGGGGCTGCGTCGAGGCGTCGAGAGGTCGGGTGCCCCAAGGAGGTACGGGCCGCATCGCCCTCCCCCAGGTCGGTCGGTCCGGAGGCTCCACCTCCGAGCGATCGGCTTGTTGACGAAGCAGCGGTCGATGAGGAAGAGCCTTCGGACTTGGCAAGCGAAGGCGACTCTGAGGAAGGAAGAGAGGCGGGAGGGACATACGAGCAGAGGGTATACTGAGGAAGGATGTGAGGCAGCACGGCGATGATATATAATGATGGTGAAGTGGGAGGGGTATTACCCCTCTCCTCTTATCCCCATAGGTCCTCAGGATGAGGAAGACGCTCCCCTGGAGGAGGAGGTGGAGGAGGAGGAGGAGGAGGAGGTGGACTCCTGGGGTGGACGTGGAGTCCTGGAGGAAGAGGAGGAGGAGGAGGAGGAGGTGGAAGTGGAGGAAGAGGAAGAGGAGGAGAAGGAGGAGGAGGAGGAGGAGGGGGAGGAGGAAGGGGAGGAGGAGGAGGAGGAGGAGGAGGAGGAGGAGGAGGAGGAGGAGGAGGAGGGAGGAGGAGCAGCGCCCTGCCTCCCCCCCCCTCCCCCCCGAGGCGAAGCGCCTGGAGAACGAGCTGCGGGAGACAAAGTGGGATTTGTGCAGCAGGACTACATATTATATTCAGCACAAGAGGCGGCGCCTGACGAAGGCGCATTGGGCGTCCTAACACGTCGAGTCGACCTCCGTTGAGCGCGTTCTCAGAGGCCTCCTAGATAGGGTCGGAATAAATGGGGTCGGAGGATCGAGCCGCATTGCCGATACATCGGCGATGCATCGGCGATGCAACAGCGACGCATTGCATCGTCAACGTGGCGATGCATTGGCGACGTCGACGCGAAGCAAATCGAGCTCCACGTCGAGCCGCATCGGCGATGCATCGGCGCATCGGCGATGCGGCGCGACCCTCCGACCCCACCTGCTCCGACCCCATCTGGGAGGCCCAGAGTTCTGACCAAAATCCCATCCCCCCCATGACGAATCCAACCGTTGCGACGAGGCGATGCGTCTCTCATTCCAAGATAAGGTGCACCGGTTCTCGCTTCGTGGTGGGTACCGCCTGGCGATGAAGCGGAACCTCGGGCATGCGTCGACGTCCACCGTGTTGAACATGGAGGAGATCGCTACCAGTCGGCAGTGTCTTAACAATTGGGAGTGCTTGCTTGGGGCTAACATTTTGGTTCAGAGCAGGCGCTGGTACGACGCTCACTATTCGGCTTTAAGGAGTACTCAGGCGCATTATTCTTCTCTAGAGCCATCGCAGTTTGCGGATGTGCGCGACATGTCGTGGGAGCTGCATTGCGTGCGGTGCGACGCTACGAACTCCTCAAGCTATCTTGGACCCTGGGACATGCTTTAACCACCTCCTCGCCTCCTCGCCTGTCCACGTATCGGTGGGGGGGGGGACGGAGCGGGAAGTAAGTGTGCAGTGTGGAGGGGGTGTTAGCGCCTCTGTCTTCCTGTCCTCGTCGTTTCCTTCTTGGCCCAAGACACGGGCACCTCCTCCTCCTCCTCCTCCTTCTCCGCCTTTTCTCTTCATCCATCCTCCCTCCTACCGACTCGTCCCCTTTCCTTCCTCCGCGGTCTCTCCGCCTCCGCCCGCGCGCCCGTCCCCCCGCTGCGCCGTAGGACAGAAGGTGCACGCCATGGAGGTCTCGAGCAAGTTCGTCCGCCCCCGCCGAGCGCCCGCGATTGCTGGCGAGGAGGACGCCTGTTTCTTTCAGAACTCATTCCCCATCACTCATTCTTCCCCTTGGCCCCTTGCCACGTGGGCCATGTGGTGCGAAGATTAGGCCGTGATTTGGAACTTCGCGGATCGTGGCCCGCTTTCGAGGGCTGCCGTCGGAAGTCCATCCAGAATCGAGCTGTTTCGGTGGCTTTCCAAACCCCTCGGGCCCCCCGGGGCGCACCCCGTCGCGCTGCTTGTAGTTGCCTCCCCCCAGGATCGCCCCGTGCCCGACCTCGACGGGCACACCGTATTCGCTGACCTGTGCGTCATTCCTGAGAAGTGCCTCGAAGCCGATGTCAAGGCTATGGTGTGCAGCCAGTTCCAGTCAATCGGTTTGCCAAATTGGACAATGGACGACATGCGCAGTACGCTTGCATACCCTGCAGCAGGTGATGATGTCGGTGATTGCCTGCTCAACCCAGAATGGAAATATGTGCAGCTGGCTTTGCCTCTCCCGCGGACCCAGACCCCGAATGGCCTCATCCACCCCTCCACCCATCCACTCTTGCACCCCCCTCTCGGTCTCGTGCTGGGCCCGACAAACTCGCCTCCTCCCCTCCCCCCCGTGCCTCCGTGCCTTCAGCCACGAGAGCCCCGCCGACCTGGGCCTTTAGCCACGAGAGCCCCGTGCGAGACTCGGAAAAAGCACGTGATCTGGAGGGGGCCATGCTGGGGCCATTTGAGGTGCCTCTGGCGGCTCCACTTGCGGGTGTATTTGTTCACTACAGACCAGGGGCCTGACCAGAAGGGCCTCCACAAAACCCTCGAGACGGATCTGCCTGTGAATGTGGTGACTACGCTGATGTTCAGGCAGTGGTGTTTCCATCACTAACAGCACTTGATGGCGCATCGGTTCCATGGGACCTTAACCCTGCCCCCCTGGGCCCCATAGGATGGCGAGGTGGAGAGGTGGAGGATTCTGACGCTTCGTCCTCTGGGGACTCCTGCAGGGTCCTCGTGACGTTGTGACGCTGGCTCGCCACGGCTGGGATCTCATCGAAATCATGATCACTCCAATCCAACAATAAACATACCAGGAGGGGTTTAGCGGAGAGATCAGAGGCATGTTGCGTGATTAAGTCCCGAAGGCAACCCGTCTTCTGCGATGCCCTGGTGCCGCAGGGGTACTTCTCGTGTCTTGGTACGATCGTGAACTTTTGGAGGACCCAGTCGAACGCCAAGAAGATTTACAAACAATGGAAGGCCATATTTGCGGAGAGTGGGTGGGTGGGTGAGGAGGTGGATAGGCAGCTAAAAAGTTCTGGGGGTCTGGATGAGATTTCGCTTCTACCCACCCCTCCCATCCCTTCCCGGCTGCGCACTTCGCGATAGCATATGTCCTGGGGGGGGATTCCAGGAGAGCTGCCAAAGGCAATCTATGGTCCCGAAGTTGCCGCTGCCTGTGTTGGAACATTACCACCTCGACCTTTGCGAGGAAGATGGGGGGCGGTGTCAGCTACGGAGGCGTTCCTGCTGAGAGCTGGACAGGAGACCAGCGGTTTGTTTGCAATCTTGCCCCCCTCCCCCCACCGAACCGTCCTTTCGGAGCCCATCGGACCAAGGCCCAGGATCCATAGACCCTGCCCGAGTCCCCCCTCGAGCGTGTGTATTATCTTTCTAGTTTGATTCCCTAGGAGGCGTGCGTCACAGTGTTCGCCCAATGCTGGCCCACGGCGCATGCAGCAGTCATAGCTGGATCGAGCGATCATGATTTTGAAGCCGCACGTGCACCTGAATCGAAAAAGCTCAAACTACCAGACGGGCAAGAAGACGAACAGATGTTCACAGTCAAAGTTGGCAAATGGCTCAGAAATACCATCACTGCATTGTTAACTACAGCATTCTGGCTCACAATGGTAATCGCTCACACTACCCGTGCTCCTGCCGACCACTTCCAGAGATGGCTTCAAGCTGCGCCGAAACCCCGAGACAAACCTAAAGTCGTCCAGCTTGTGCGTGGCAAAGCTCGCAAGTTCGAGCTCGAGTGGGCAACGCTGTTGAACGGTACTCCTGGGCCATGGGATTCGACGCTGTCCATTGCCGGCCCTGAGCAGTATGAGTGGGTCGGATCGGCAGTCTTGGCGTGTACTGGTCTATTGTGTGACTTCCGGCGTAGAGTCACGCAGCCTTGCATGGACTTTCCGATGAGGTTGATGTGGTTTATTTTTGCTGAGTGCGACAAGTGTTGCCCACACAGGCGCACGACAGCCTACGACCTACTTACAACGACTGGCAGCAGATTGGATAGGTCAGTTCTGAAATTCAGAACTCTGTTCCAGGTGGAGTTGACGGAGTGCGTGGATAGCGGCCGTATACCATTGATTTTGTGGGACTTTATAATGTCAGCTGGGTTTCAAATAATATCATCGAATCATCGGCTCGTAGGCGTTTAAGCGTTTAAGACGTTTGAGGCTTTACGGCTTTAAGGCTTTAAGAGTTCGTAGGCACTGCGATCAAGGCGCTGAAATACGGACCGCTTGGGGGGCAGGAGGGGGACTGGGGTTTTGGGGCCCGTTCCTTAGATTGTGTGGAATGTGGAATTTGTTTGCGTGGCCTTGTGGCCTAGGCCCGCTGGGGCCGTGGTCAGGAACGCCCCTGATCCTTATGGTAGCACGATGACTGCATTGGGGGTGTGGGGTTCAAGGACACCCGCTGTAGGTCTATAGCCAAGATGTGGAAGTTGGATACCCAAGAAGTAGAGGGGGTTAACGGCCTGATCAAGCTCTCACTCAAGCGGGCCCCAGCCATTCGATGGCATCTCCTGAGCGCACGAGTTGTTCAGTGGAAGTACTGCCTTCGATATGTTGACTGCGCAGAGGCTCGCGACCACTTTATCGACGATTGCTGTGCCAACCACGCGGCCGCCCAGCAACTCACGCGTCAGAAGGACAGTCGGGTCGATCCTGAAACAAAAGGGACACACACACAGAACGCATATGGGAAGACCATCCAATCCGCATTTTATGGATGTTCTTCCCATGTGTGTTTTCCACGTTTCCCAAGTAAATGTGTGTAGACAAGATTCCCGGGGGATCGAGATCGACTGTGTCTGTGCGTTCCCCTCCTGGTCATTGATGATATGAGTCTCCCCTCCTCTCTCTCTCGGCATCGCCTCATCCCGCCAGGAGCAACGGCACGTGCCAGTTGCAGTTCCAATTCAGCATGCTGGTGACGACGGCGACCACGAAGGTGGTGGTGCAGGTGCAGCCCCCCCTGTTGAGCCGCTGCCTGCACCAAAGGCAAAGGCGAAGGCCACAGGCTCCAAGCCGTCTAGGACAAGTGGGCGGACATGAACCGGATTCGGTTAATCTGTTAGGTCGGTTGGGCTGTTGGGCAAGGAGATGGACAGTCATAGTCATGAAGGGGAGTGTAGGAGGATACGAGGCTTTCGGGAGGATACTAACTAACTTGTAAGGTTTGGACCTTGCAGTCGGGGCGCTGAAGAAGGAACCCGTTTCGTTTGGGAGGGACTCGGTGTTCCTTGATGATTGGTTCCCAATTTGCCTCAGGTGTCCCTCAAATTTTCCATGCTAAATCGAAGTTAAGTTACGGGAAAACGGGACCTCGTTCCTTATTAGGGTTTACGGGTTCCTTAGGTCAACGCCGCGACGGTATAATATTCAAGCTAGCATGCCCCTTCTGCCTGAGGACTGCGACGGACGTGTGCGCAGCGTCGCTGATCGTTCAACTTCAGGAGAGTCTGGACAGGCATCTCGGGTGAAAGTGAAAATCGGCGGCGAACCTGGGGGGAAGTGAGAAAGGGCGAACCCCCTCAGAAAGCTCGGAACTCCCCCAGCCTTCTGAGAAGTTGTCTATGCCTCCTTTCAGAAGGCAGGAGGTATTCTGAGAAGCCCCGCCACCTTCTGAGAAGGACGACGATTATTCCCCGAACTTCCCCCCCTGGCTCATCGCCGAGAAAAAGGGCAGAGGTCTAGATGTACTGATGAGGATTGGCAATGAGGATTGACGAGATCGGCAGAAGGAGGGAGAGGGAGAGGACGGTACGTTTCCAAAGGGATTTGAAAACTAGCAGGGTGGCATGGAGGCAATCCTAGGATGGGCGGATGAAGGCGGAGGAGGAGGGGGAACTAGAGGAGAGAGGACGAGGAGGAGGAGACGTGCCTGCCTGGGATCCCGACCAGAGTAGCCAAACCAAACCGAAACCACCCTCAGCCCCTATCCATCCCCTCAGGCACTATGGCGATGGAGGTGTTATCGAGCCGTCATCGCAGCGTATGTTGCAGTTTTCTATTGCTGGTGCAACAGAGGATTTCAAGAACGCGAGCGCCAGTGCCTTCCAGCATGCCAGGGACGTGGTGATGAATGGTGAATATTGGATGGTCTGCCACAAGTTCTACTCACAGTTGTGGGCTGTGCAGCTTGAGGGGGGTAACGACAATGTCAAGTTTCATGTTGATTCAAGCGGCTTGCTGACAATCGACACAATATTCGGTGTCATTAAGACTTTACATACTGCGTGGGATCAGAATATGATTGGAGATGTTACCGTGCGTTGTTGCGACGTTGTGTGGGACCGCACTTCTTTCGCACATGCAAGCACATCTGGTCCGACCGAGCTTCTGCGGTTCACTTCATCATGCACATGCTTCGAACACCATAATAAAGCAAAAGCCCGCAAAAAAAAAAAAACATTGGACAAAAACACCCTACGATGAGTCAGAAGACCATAGACGCTGCAATGCACATACTGGACGGATTGGATGCAGCAGAGGCAGCAGCAGCAGCAGGCGGCGACGACCATGATCCCGGCGAGCCTTCTGGAGTTGCTGAGGGAGCTGAAGGGCCTGGGGCACCCGATGAAGATGACGATGAAGTGACAATTGTTCAGTCTACGCTTAGCGAACGTGCCAAAGCAGATGCTGCTTCATGCGCAGCTGCTGCCGCCTTACTCGATCCGACCCGAAGTTTTGATGAGCACATGCGAGACGCCATTCTTGACCAAGCTTTCGGTATCCAGGCTGTTCTGGGCATGTATATACTCCTCCCAATGGTGCTCTCCCCAACCCGTCACGTATTCCTCCCTCCCCCTCCTGACTCCTCCGCTTCGGGCCTCCTTTGGGAACCTCTTCCCCCCGCTCCGATCTTCGCATCGCTGCCGCAGCAGGTTGGCATCATCAAGCCGGAGCCCGAGGACGCAGCCGCAGCCGCGGTGATGAGGAACTGTTTTCAGCAGGTTTACCTTGATCAATGGTCGGATGGATTTGCAGCCACTGTTCACGCAGTCACGTTCTGTTTGCAGCAGAAGTGTACCGTATTGGCTATCAGAGGGCTTTCTTTGGTTGAGATCAAAGAGGATACCAGGGACGGATGATCTCCTCACCATACCCCCCCGCACACACACACAAACACACACACACACGCACAAACACAAACACACACAGACACACACACACAAACACACACACACACGCACACACACACACACTCACACTCTCACACACGCACACACACACACAAACATCCTCTCCATCCTCCCCCCTCCTGGGGAGGCATGGGGGGGACTTATTTGGGGGTGAGATGAGGGGGATGGGGTGACGGAGATGGGGGTCCCATCCCTCCGGGACACTGCTGCTGGGGCTGATGGTGCTGCTTCGTGTACACACTATATCCACTGGGACATGATCGGCGACCTTGACACCCGTAGTGGTATGTGGGCGGGACGTTTCGTGAACGTGGGCCATGACTCTATCATCCACTATAAACACCCTGGGCCGCAGCGGAGAGACGTTATAGATTTGACACCGCTCGTCAACGATGGTAGGCTTACGTTCGTGGTGAAGAATTGCATTTCCAAGATGTTGCAGCACAAAGGCAAAGATGCAGAACGTGCACCACATGAGATCACGACCATTCGCGCCATAAAAGAAGTGCTGCTGGAACATCCAGGTGCTCGCGCCGGACATGCGTCCGACGACATGTTCAATGACAACCCCATCGCGTGTCACGGCTGCGGGGTGGCATGTGATGGTTCGAAGGCTTGGACTACGTGCCCCATGTGCATGCTGAGCTGGCACGATGCGTGCAGCGTGGCTTGTGCGACCGATATTTCCAGCGGCGAGTTGACGGCGAAGTCCGATGCGATGTCCGAGGCCGTTGCACGCAGTGGGATTACAGATGATGCATCAATTCAGACGGCGTACACCTCGAATGTGGTTGCCGAAGAGTCTGCGTTTATCGACGCTATGTGCCCAATGTGTTCGACAATGATTGGGATTGCATGTTCTCGCAGTCTTGCGGGTGCGGGTGCATACCTTAGCGTCTAGCCACCCATGTCTCCTCGCCGCGCCCCCCCCCTCCTCCGAAACTACAGGGACATGGGACATCCCAGCTTGAAGCAGATTTTTCTCTTGCCCTGGGGGCTTGTCCAGGGGCCGTGCAAAGCGGTTTACCTCCAACCCCTCCCCTTGTGGCCCTGCCCAACGCACCAGCGCATCTACAGTCAACCCGTCAACCCGCATATTAAGGATATGCAACCTTTCCCAAGGGTGCCCCTTGCATCCTTGCCTCCCGAGGGCTCAGCTCGAGAGCCGAGGCCGCCGCAGTTTATATAACCCAAACTCTCATCATCTCGTCTCGCCCTCTTCATCCTCATCCCCTCATCCCCAGCTCCACTCTGATCCGCATCACCCCCCCGCCATGCCCCTACCTCTGATCCTCTCGCTCCCCCCCTACCCCCTTATGGCACTCCCTCCGCCAGAGAGGGCGAGAGGACGAGAGAGAGAGAGAGAGAGAGAGAGAGAGAGAGAGAGAGAGAGAGAGAGAGAGAGAGAGAGAGAGAGAGAGAGAGAGAGAGAGAGAGAGAGAGAGAGAGAGAGAGAGAGAGAGAGAGAGAGAGAGAGAGGAGAGAGAGAGAGAGAGAGAGAGAGAGAGAGAGAGAGAGAGAGAGAGAGAGAGAGAGAGAGAGAGAGAGAGAGAGAGAGAAAAAAAAAAAAAGCGAGAGAAGGAGACAGCCAAACCAAATAAGGTGCTGCTGGTGCAGAGCCTGACGCACAGCTGGCACCGCCAGCATAGCCAGTTCGGGTTCCTGCTCGGGCTGGTGGGGACGCTGCGCGGGCTGGTCTACTACGTTACGTTACTTGGTGGTGCAGCTGCGGCTCGTGCAGGGCTGCGGCATCGGCACCATCGTCGGGGCTGGGCTGCCCCGGCCGCTGACGCTGCTGACGCTTGTGCAAGCGAGCAGCGATTGACAATAACACACATCACCCCCAACCGCCATCTACATTGGATTGATGTTTGCACGCGCTCCCATTTGGCACGTCACTATCCTGTGATGTCGGGTTGGGTTGGGCCATGGCGGCCATCGGCTGTTGTGTTGGGTTCTGGCTTTTGGTTCCGCATGGTGTTGGGTTGGGCCACCGTTTTATTTATCATCCTGTGGTGTTGGGTCCTCGCTTTGATTCCGCAGCCTGCCCACTGAGCGTGCGGATCCGCACAGCAGAGTGGGCCGGACACAGTATTCAGCGCGTCCATGCTCGGCTCGGGAGTTTGGGCATTGCTCTGCGAGGCCGCGCGCTTGGCCCATCGAGCCCGCGCTGGCAATCACATTGGAGCAGAAACCGCTAGACTGCACACCATTTTTCATGATACGTATAGCTGATATCGTCAGGACGAGCCACAGAAACACAGCGGTCTCAAACAGCCCCAAAACCATGGATCTGTGTTTTTTTCTGCCTCCCCAAACGCTCCGTTGAGGATCGTTCCCAACCCAGCCCCTGGGGTTGAGAATCTGGGCCCATATTCTCAACCCACATCCCTGTGGGTTGAGAATTTGGGGCCAAATTCTCAACCCGCACCCCTGTGGGTTGAGAATCTGGGGGCAAATTCTCAACCCCAGGGGCTGGGTTGGGAGCGATCCTCAACCCGCCCATCCGTGTCGCCCAGAAATTTAAGAAAATCGTGATTTTGCGCTCCCTGGGGGAGCTCCGAATTCTGTTGTGCGCAGCTGCTTTCCGCACCGCTCGCGCTACTGCGTACCACCTTCTAGCTCGTGTACGTGCCATCTGGGACCTCGGCCGTAGACCGTTTGTTTGGCTACAGGTCATACCTGCTCCTACACCGCTGACGTGTTACCACTCGTTTGCGTGGTTCTTTCCACTCACACATCCCCCTGGCATCCGACTCATGTTGTCGCGTCCGCTGCCTCAGCTGTGCCATGGCGGGGGGTTCCGGGAGCAAGTTACGTCGTCATTGGCAGGCTCGTTCTCATGGTGCCAGGACGCACTCGGGCGCGTGATGACAGTTGTGGGCTTTGACAACTTACAGGAGTTCTGTGTTCGTCGCAGGATTCGCATCAGCAGCTCATTCTCGGGGGTCGGGACTGACAAAGTTGCGCTGGACATCATCAGAGCGAACATGGGGCGCCTCTTGGAGGACCACAACGCCACCACCGAGCAGCTCATCGAGTTCGAGGACATGTGGGCGTTGGACTACGACTCGCACTGCATTGACGAGCTGTTGCTGGTGGGATTCGTACGTCGTGTCTATTTGTCTCCGCTTCCCAACCACTCGTTCTTTTTCTTGCCTAATCCTACGGACGGTCCTATGCTTTCTGCTTTGCGACCCTAGGTGCACGAGGGCTCCCCCGATCACTGTGTGTTTGGTAACATCTTGCACTTCGTGCCCAGCGAGGTCTTAGAGCACTGCCGCATCACATAAGCAGTGGGCAACGGCAGGGGGCGCGGGCGCGGGGGCCGCGGTCGCGGCCGCGGCCGCGGCCGCGGCCAGGCGGCCGCGGCAGGGGAGCTTCCCGCAGCCCAGATGCGCGACCCCATCGTGAACGCCAGGATGAACAAGAGGGCCTGGTGCTACAGACACGGTCGGCTTTGCGACGTGTGCGAGGCGGATGTCCACACCGGCGGCGCACCGTGCCTGGATCATACGCCATTCGGGCTGCTCATGAGAATGGACGGCGCCAACGCCAAATATTTTTTTGCGTGGGTGATGATGAGGAGGAACATCCGCGAGAAGATATGGGTGCAGGAGAATGTCAAGGGCTTCGGAGTCACGGAATTGCAGATTCTTCTCGGCGACTTGTACATCGTGCGGGCCCTGGTGGCGAGCCAGATCGGATCATTGTTTGTGGGCCCCGTCGGCACCGTGACGAGTGTTATCATTGTTATGTTGGTTGTTGTTTTATTGTGAGTTGTGCTGTGCCCCCAGCTCCCCACCCCCACTTCCCGCCAGCTCAGGCGGACAATGTGGGATCGGGTCTGCTCGGGCGTTCGGGCGTTCGCTCGCTTGCGCCTGGCACGTGCCGCACTCAGATCGATGTGCACGTCCACGATCTGAAGTCCTTCGGCTGGGCGGCGACCAGGACTCGGCAGTGCGCGATTGGTGTCCTGAAATCTTGGATCTACCCCATATTCCACGCTGCAGGCTCGCCTCGGGCCTGCAAACACAACAAAAACACCTCCTCCTCCTCCTCCTCCTCCTCCTCCTCCTCCTCCTCCTCCTCCTCCTCCTCACTCCTCTTCCTGCCTCTTCTATTCTCTGTGAGCAAGCTCCTGCTGTCTCCGCAGCTTCTCTGCCCAAGTGCCCCCCGTCGGCCGCGCGCGCGGGCGCCTTATGCAGGCGGTCGCACAAGCGGCTCTCCAGGGCGCTGGGGAGATTTTGTTCAGGGGGCTGCGGGCCGCGCTCTACGAGCGGCTCGTGGCTGCCCCCCTCTCTGTGCTTCAGGACCAGGGGCCTCCATCGCCTGCCTGGTCCATCCAGCAGGCGGACTCGTCCGAGGGTGAGGGGGCCTCCTGCCCTCTCCCTTCGGCGGGTTCCACCTGCCCCACCGTCTGCCTCGGGCTGGCGGTGGACCTGAGCGGCGGGGTCTCTCCCTGGCTGCTCAGCACGGTCGCCGCCCTCCTCTGGGTGACGGCCGCCTGCAGCGCCTGCGCGGGCTGCTGCCTCGGGCTGCTGGGCCCGTACGTGTGGCGGAGGCTCTGGCCCTCCGCCTGGCCGCGCGGCGCGGTTTCTGCTTCACCTGAGCAGGACCGCCGTGCGGCGCGAGCGCTGGCCTACGGGGCTCCGCCTCGACCTCAAGCGCTCGAGCGGGCAGACGCCCAGCGTGCGGGCGGCGGCGTCCACGGCGGCGCCCACTGATGGCGGAGCTGCCACCAGTTGGCGGAGGGCCCCTTTGGCCCGAGCTCTACCCTTTCGCTGCGCCCACGGCGCGCGACTACGCACGATGGCGCCTAGACGACGGCGACACCAGCTGGGCGGCTATCCCCCTCGCCTCTCGAGAAGGGGGCATCCTGCTGGCCCTGCCTGGTGCCTTTCGCTCTACAGCGGAGCTCGAGGCTGCCGAGGCGGATGGCTTTGCTGGGATGATAGGCCCCTTCCAGCTAGTGGACGTCCAGCTCCAGGGGGCCGCTTCACGGCCGCTCGCCACTACCGCATCCGTCCTCGTTATAGATATCGAGGTTGCCGAGCTCGAGCTCGAGTCGCTGTACCCTCTAGAGGTCGGCGACGACGCAGGCATCGTTCCCTTCGCCGAGGTGCGCAGCCGCGTCTATTGGCCGCATCCTTCGGGGGTTCGGGTGCTTCGCGAGGGCTACGCTCGTTTGCACGGCGCCCCGCCTACCGCAGGGGAAGAGCCTCTCCCAGGGGCCGATCGGGCTACCCCCTACCACTCTGCCGACGAGATGGAGGAGCCCGAGGGGTTCGCGGCCGACGGGGAAGCCGACCGCGCGGCCCCAAGTGCGCGAGCCCCCGCGGTCGCTGGAGCGCCGCGCGGCCCGCCCGCCAAGCGCGCTGGCGCCGCCGCGCCGCCACGGGTCGCGGGTCCTGCTCCGATTGCTCCTGGTGCTCCTGCGGCGTCTCTGGACGACGGGGCTCCCATGACCCGCGCCGAGGTAGCTGCCGAAATGCGCGCCTTGCTTGCAGCCCACGCGGCCTCCACGATGGTCGGCGGACCCGAACCGCTGGGCCCCGCTCCGGCTGCCCGGAGCGCTCGGCCCGAGGTGCCTCAGCTTTTCAGCGACGAGGCGGCGCGCCTCGGGCTGGATCCTGCGGGGATCGAGGCCGTCTTGTCCCACGCGCCCGTGGCCCCACATCGGGTCTCCGCGCGCCCCAAGGGACCCACCTCCGCGCTGGTCTCGGCGTGGGAGAAGGCGCGCTCTCTTGCTGTCCCTCGGGCCCCTTCGTCCGCTTCCGGACCGATGGGCCCCCCGCCGCCGCCTGGGCTAGCCCATCCCGCTGCGGTCGACGGCTTTGCCGAGGCGGGCGGCGCCGACGGGTTAGAGCCGCCCCTTGCGGCCAATCCGACGGACTTCAGCCTCATGCTTCAGTGCCTGCACCAGTCCCTTTCCTTGCAGCAGGGGCGGGGCCATCGCCCAGCCTTCCACCCGCTTCTGGGGACCCTGAGCGACCAAGCTCAAACTCCGCCCGCGACCTCGGGCGACCCCGCGCACGCATCGGCTCAGATGGGGGGAATCGCTCGGAGGCGCGAGTGGCAGCAAGCGCTGATGCAGCACGGCCCCGACGTGCGAGGACTGATGAAGGAGAATTTGGCCCGCGTTCTGGGCGTGGAAGTCAGCGCCGTGACCCCCATGGCCATGCATCAGTACTTTCGCGAGCACAGCCCCCTCGGGGCTCAGCCGTCGACGCACGAGTTGTTGACGCATTTTGCCTTCCTCAGCGCCGAGCTGTGGCGGGCCTGCGAGGAGGGCAACCCCGAGAGGGTCCAGACCTTGCTGACTTGCCAGTGCATGTTCATCGACCAGTTGGCGGGGGACCGCGGCTACCTCGAGGCCGCTTGGTTCCTCACGGGGCTGGAGCCTCCCCCGTGTCGCGTGACCAGTCGTCACACGGAGCGCGAGGCCCAGACCCCGTTTTCACCCCTAGTGGATCCTCGCTGGCTGTCGGCGCAGGGCGAATACATGAAGGAGCTGCAAGCATTTCGGGCGCGCCTCGACGCCGAGCGCGCCGTCGCGCTCCCCAAGCATCCACCTCATCAGCCCAAGCAGCCCAAGGTCTCAAAGCCCCCCTTCAAGTCTCAGGGTGCTCCCAAGGCCCCGAAGGCGGTGCCCAAGAAGGACTGAAGATGCCCTTGGCGCCCGCCTTCTTGGAGGGGGGGCCTTCGCGTGGCCGGGGTACGCCGCCGCAGACAGTCTGCACCGACGCTGCTACGGCTGCTAGGCGTGTTTGGGCGCAGCGAGGGCGTGAGGGTAGGAATGCGCTCCTCCAGCGATGCTGTTGCGGCCCCGCAGGGAGGAGTACGTTCCGCCACCACGCCCCTCGCTCTGCTCCGAACCGCCCCTCGGATCCATTCGGCCATTTTGGCCGTCACCTGCCTCAGTCGAGCGCTCCCCCCATGGGGCCTGCAGCCCCTGAGGTTGGTGTTCTTGCTGGTGCTTGTTCTCCTTCAAGCACCCCTGCTGCTCTTGCCAACGTCGCGCCATTTGTCGCTGACTTGTCTGCCTTGCTGCGCCTGTTTCCAGGCGCGAACATTGATATCACCCACTGGGCGGCAGCGCTGTCCCAGGTTGGGATGGGTGCTCGATGTTCTCTTGGATCTTTCTCCCGCTCATCAATGCGTGCAATGGACAGGGACGACCCGTACCTTTTGGGGCCGCCTCCCCGCGATCCTTGGCCGTGCCCGCCTGCTCCACCTCTTGGTCCCCCGCCTGACGGCTTGTCGGCGAGGCGCAGGGAGCGCTGGAGATTGCGGCGCGCGGCGCGGACGCTCGCGCAGTATTCTGTTATTGCGTTGAACTGGCTCACTTTGGGTCATCCTAGCCTCGCTCCCGCCGAGGCTCGTGTCCGCGCCACGGTCTCGCCCTGCCAGGAGGGCGTCCGCACCCGTATCGAACGGTTGTGTCGGATCGCAGTTCGCCTTGCCCGTGGTGGCAAGAGCGACTTAGGTCGAGCCTTCGCCAAGTTCGACTCTACTGAGGTCTCGCTCCATGGCCTGGCCACCCATGTTGCAGCTTTGGAGGCCTCCTTCACCTCCTCTTCTTCCGTGCCCGCCCCCATGCGGCACTGCCCGACCAGCGCTCCTTCCGTGCCTGGTTCGCTGGCGTCTGCGGCGGCTTGGGACTCCACCCAGGTCGAGCCCTTCGATTTAAAAGTCAGGGCGTCTCGCATTAAGTGGGATTACTCGCCAGTGTTTGATCCCATTCCATTTCTCTCTGACGCTCGAGTCCGCGAAGCGTTCATCAATCCAGAGGAGATGCGGCTCCCGGCGTCAGAGTGGCCTGCTGGCCAAAAGGGGGCGCGTGTCCATATGGACCGCGCCGAGCTGTGGGCCCTGCTCCAGAAGTGGGATGCCTGCGGCGCCCTGTACCTGACTCCTGCTTCGGACCTCGCCTGGGATGAAGCCTGCGGAGCTTTCAGGGTACCGAAGGACAGCGACTTCGACAGGCTGATCCTGAACCCAACGGTCGTGAACAGCCGCTGTGCCTCAATCTCGTCCAGCACCCAGCGCCTTGGCCAGGGTTTCCTGCTGTGCCGTTTGGGTCTGGCGCCTGGGGAGTGGCTGGCAGTTTCTTGCGACGACCTACGGGAGTTTTACTACACTTTCCGCGTTCCTCCCGCGCGCGCCAGGCGTAACGCCCTTCGCGTTCGTCTGCCATCATCCCGCTTCAAGGCCTTTCGAGCCTGGCGCCCCGAGCTCGAAGGTGTGGACGTCGCGCCTTGCCTCAATGCTCTAGCGATGGGCGACAACATGGCGGTGGAGATTGCCAACTCTGCACATGAAGGCGTCTTGCACAGCTTCGGGGCCTTGCGGCCTCACGAGCAGGTTGTCCACCGCTCGCCCTTCCCGCGGGGACCGTTTGTCGAGATGCTGAATATTGATGACCATACAGGTTTTCAGAAGCTCTCGTGGCATGGCTCCGCTCCTCGCCCCGACGACCCCTGTCGTCGTGATCGTGAGGTCTTCGCCGCCTGCGATGCAGGCTACCCGCGCGTGGGCCTGATTCAGCATCCAGGCAAGCGCGCGCGCGGCGAAACGCACAAGGTGGTGGTGGGCGCCGAGGTGGAAGGGCGCATAGGCATCGTCTGCGCTCCCTTAGTGCGGACGGTGGCCTTGTGCAGGCTGACCCTGATCCAAATCTACCTCGGCATCACCACACGCTCCCTGTTAGCCTCTCTTGTGGGCTGCTGGGTCCAGGTGTTCCTCTATCGCCGTCCGATGCTCGCCATTTTCACGCACGTCTACAACTTCCTGTCGCGCCTGGCGACCGAGGAGGGCATTGAATACGACTTGCCTCCTTATGTTCGCGACGAGCTTTTGGCCTGCACCTTTTTAGCCTTTACGGCTATAACCGACCTTCGGGCGCAGCCTTGCCCCGAGGTGTTCGGTACGGACGCGTCTCTCGGCTGGGGGGGCGTTGTCCGCGCTC